TTGCTCCACCCAATTCCGACCTGGAATATCTAAATCCATCACCCAACTCCGAATCCAACCAGGTCAGTTCAGGTCAGGTGGAGGACTTTCTCCACCCAGCAGGTATCTAACAATTAAATGCTCATCTTTCCTTCTTAACACTAATTTTCAACACGCACCAAAGACTAAGCAATTGTTTTCAAGTGTGGCAGTGGATCAGGTTTGGAGCCCATTTTTGCTCCACCCAATTCCAACCTGGAATATCTAAATCCATCACCCAACTCCGAATCCAACCTGGTCAGTTCGGGTCAGGTGAAGGACTTTCTCCACCCGGCAGGTATCTAACAATTAAGTGCTCATCTTTCCTTCTTAACACTAATTTCCAACGCATACCAAAGACTAAGCAATTGTTTTCAAGTGGTTTTCATTGAAATAGCCAAACATTGATAAATAACATATATTTCCAAGATTAAAACATTTTCCAAGAATTTTTGTTTACAGGAAAATCATTGATTAAATGTTATTTTGATTTAAATCCTTATATAGATAATCCAGTATTTTAGGTTATTATGATACTTAGTTTTAATTGTTTTGTTTATGAATTTATTCTATTCTCTATTTTGGTTACAGCTTTTGTTAGGGTTTTAATACTTGTAGTATAAAAAGATCACAAATGTTCTGAAACAATTGATGAAAATGGGTGTCCATAGGGTGCTAGATAGTAGGGAACAAGATCATACCTCTTGTTACATGTCAATATTTGTCTACCTATATCTTCTGAAACAACCATCTGCAAAATATACCTTAAAGGTAAGCAAATAAATTCAAGAAAACCTACATACAGTAACCATCCACTGGCAGCACTGCTCTAATATATATGATTGTTACCAAGAACAGAAAGAAAGTGTTACATACTCTAGATTCCAGATTCATCAAAATGGCAGACTTTGTGGACTGTTTAGCACGTTGCAGCTGCACAGGGTCAACTTCAAAAACCAAAAGAGAAACATGTTTGCACAGGATAAAGTCAGATTTTGCACAGCAGAAAGAATAATAGCAAAGGATAAAGACATAATGACAAACCTGCACCAGACGAAGCAACCTCAGTTAGCTCTCTAACCGCTAGCTCAATGGCTGATGATGCAAAATCTGCATCCTGCATCCAGAAACATCGAAGGCAATGACATATACAGTAGTAACGATTATAATCCACAAAGGAACACACTCAGCTATGCCGCTGCTTCTATAGTTCTAACATTTGCCTTCAGTAATAAATCAGCGAAGGTTGGCCAACTAGGCTATATGATGTAAAGATGGGATGGCATAATGAAGGCTTGATCCAAGAACACCAAAGCAGGCATAAATGGTGTTTCCGGAACACAAGTTTGCATATGTCCAGTCAAATCAGCATGATAATGATATGCTCACTATCGTAGGCATCAAATAAGTGCACACAAACATACCCACACACACAAGTTTGTTAAAGATGTGCTCATCATCACAGAGCAAAACTTGCACAAAGAAAAAGAAGTATAGCATGGAGAAACGGGAGTTTGATCAGCCATGCCTTCAATTTTAAACCGACCAAGTTTCCACGAAACTTTCATGCTTGATGATTTCGTTGGCATTTTTATAGTGATTATGTCCTTGATTTCATATTATTAAACTTAATCTTATCTTTGCCAGTTAATTGAGAGTCATTGTAGACATTGATACATAACAGAGAGTGGAATTAATGATACAATATGATGATCCATGCAAGGAAGCTATTAAATGAAAAGGGAACTGAATAGATTTAGTTTGCTTATAAATGATCAGTGAACTTTCTAATATGTAGTTAAACTACATTCTTTTAAATATTAATCTAGCATTCTTGGATTAAATTACTTCAGTAAATTTACTTTAATTTTAACAACTGTTTCGTAGTCAAGTTAGTCTATTATCGATACATGATAATACATGTTTATGTGTGCATGTGCTTGTATATGTATGTATTTCTGCAACTATAATCATGTTTTCTCATCATTCCTCCTCCTCCTCCTCCTCCTCATCCCCCCCCTTTTTTTTTTGAGAATTTGTGTGTTAAAAGATACAAGCTTACCGTGGTAGCTTCGATGCCAAATATGGCAGTGTGATTGTAAATGTTGTTGAATGCTGAAAACAATTGAATTTTGTGATACCGATTCAAGATACGTTGATCTGCTCATCATATCAAACAAATACAATTATGCAGAAATAATAAAAAAAAATCAAATATTATAACATTAGAATGAAGTACATTCCATAATAACAGACCTCGCAATTCAAGAATTTGAATCCAAGAACTACAAGCATAATGACCAATAATCTTCAGGTGTTCATCGCACAATGCAGAAATGGTAACACATTCTTGTATCCATGTATATATTTAGGATCAATTCATAGGTCCATTACAGATCAGGCACAGGCATCGAACTTACATAACCTTGAATACATTCCTTTCCCAGGGCCACCAGCTGAGAATGATCCACCACCTCCCATTAGAACCTAAAGTATGATTAAACATATGACTTGATTGTTTCCATCAAATCATATTTGATAAGGCTTAAAAAGAAACCACATGAAAATTCATGATGCGGGTAGAAATAACCTACCATATTTCAACTATATAGAGTTAATACAAAAAACACATAAATAGAATTTTAAAAACCTGAAGAACTGTCAAGGTAATAGCCTCCTTCACATTATGCCAGCCACCTTTTAGTCCAAATGCAAGAGCAAAATGGGTTTTCTGGTCCTATGATCGAGATTCAGTGTTGAGAACCCCTATGAGATGCTTAGAAAATAGTAAAAAAAACTTTTGTTCTTCAGAAACATCTTAATACATACCCCGGAATCAGCTTGGCAACGAAAATCACCTCCAGTATAAAAAGATTCTGGCTCTCCAGGACTCTTTTTATCAGGCAGGTCAGATAAAAGGGGCTCTGCAATGGCTACCAATTCCTCATGTTCAACACCAGAAGCTGCAAGCACCATACGAGGAGCAGTATAATTTTCCTGAAAAACTCGAAGAAAACTTCAACTTAGGAATGCAAGACTCATTGAAACAAAGCAATAATCTCATATTAAAAAACATGATGATAGAAAAGAAAATTTTCACTTGTACGTACAACTACAAATTCCTCCAAGAGTGAACCATTCAATCTATCTATTGAAGATTCTGGGGCTAAAAGTGGATTAGCCAAACCACCAGAAAAACCAGCAGAGTGAATCGCCTCTAAAAGCACACCTTGAGGGTTCTTTGAAGCTTCACTGATCTCAGCTCTCACCTTCTGAAGCTGCATGAGGCAGAATATCGCATGGATAAGCACCACCTATCTGCAATTTCATAAAGATGAGTGGCAGATACATAATGGCACCACAATGTTGATTTACCTGTTCATTGACCTCCCAATCAAGGAAGACAGGGTTCCTCACACAATCGATAAGTAGCTCAACCATCTCCGGAAGGTAAGTCTTTAGAGCATCATATGTCTATCCCATCTGCTCCCGGGATGCTGAGGATTGCACAGCGCCCCCAATTGCTTCCACTTCTCGTACAACTCGCAAGTGGCTGCGGTTTCTTGTGCTTTTGAATGCCATTCGTTCCAGCAAGTGAGTGGCCCCAAATGTTGCTGGTGACTCATAAACTGAGCCACAGTCAACATATAACCCTATTGACGCCACAGGGTTCTGGTATACAAGTGCATTAACTGATAAACAATAAGCTAAAAACAACATCTAAAAAAAAGGACCTGCAAGAAAAGACAAATGAAAAGGATACAAGCATAAATACCGTTAAAAAAAAAAGAACTGCAATAAAAGAGAAATGAAAAGGATACAAGCATAAATACCGGTGATGTTTCAGATGCAATTCGCAAGCCATTACCAAGTGTTGTAATCTTAGTTACCCCGGGTTCAACATAATCAGGTGAAGTGGAAGGGAGTTCAACTCCTTGAAGTGGAAAGTCTAGAGGTGACAAAGACTTGGACTTTCCCCCAGTAAGCCAGCTGAATAAACCACTGGAAGAGGACGATTGCAAGGCTGCTGCAGCACTCGAACTTGCAAATCTTGTAGGATATCTACGGCCGCCCTAATCACACGAAAGCATCTCTCTTGGTCACATTAGGCCCACCAACCCAAGGGGTGGCATCCCGGTAAAATAACAAGCAGAGAGCTCAGCCACGCCAAATTACGATTGCATGTTAAATGGGTTTTCAGTAAAGACTTTAAAAAATCATATCTTTTAATGAAATTTTCTCAGAAACCAGGCAGAAAAGGTCTATGAATAGATCTGGGGCATAAAACATAATCATGGCAGATTTAGGAAATAGAGATTTAGGAGACGAAACTGACCTTGAGAGCACTGAGACGCGAAACCGCAGTTCTGTACATGATGATGCCTTGCTACTGATTTGATGATGATAGCGGCTATCAGAGATCAAACCCAGATTGATTATATTTGTTTGCTTTTATTATATATTCATTTAAAAAATAAATAAACAAAAGAAAACTTCAATGTATTTGTAATCGTTAGTCGTCACTCTGGAAAAATAATAAAATGTTTTTGTATTTGCTCAAACAGTTTCCAATTTCCCTATCGGATATTTATTGATATTTTAAAATTATTTTTATTAAGAAAATTATGAAATTCTTTTACTAAAATAGAAAGAAATATCCATCTTTCAGATTTAAATTAGTTTGACAATAAAAAAAATATTCTCCAAATATGTGATTAAGATTGAGGGAGTATTTGTCATGGCAGTAGTAATTATTTTTAAAAATATGTTTTATTTAAATTGTATTAAAATAATATTTTTTGTTTTTTTTTTTAAATTTACTTTATTATATTAAAATAATTCAAAAATAAAAAATAATTTTAAGTGAGAAAAAAATTCAATGCCTTTAAAAATGATGTTTGGAACCAATTTCTGTTTAAGCAAAAAAGAATACTAAAAAAGGTTGACGACAAAGTTGGTTATGAATAGTAACATACTGGAACTTGTTAATAATCGCATAAGCAGAGAACTATATAATGAACAAGAGATCATGAAAAAAAAGATAGTGATGTTGATCGAGCCATGATCGAGAACGCAGAGAGGAACCTTAACCGTCAACTTGTCAAGAGGAAGGCTGTTCACGAAAATGCTTATAAGCAGCTGGCTAATACATACAGAGGCAATGGAAGCCAACGAGAGATTGAAAGCCTTTTAACATCCAAAAGTGATGATTGATGATCGATCAATTGTAAGTTAGTTGCCCTGTGCAAAGAGAAAACTCTAAGTGATCGATCAACGTGCATGCTGGAGGTTTTTGATAATATAGAACAAAGAATGCATGGACTAGTTTTTTTTCAATCGGATAATGCAGAAGTTTAATGGGAATAAGCAATGCAAAAGCACAAATGAATGTCCTTATCACCGGTAAGTAAACTATAGAAACAGGCTTGAGGTAGTCGAAAAAAGGATCGGAGGGCCATAAAGGGGAAGCTATAGATTTAGCGTAACACAAAGTGCAAGCCAGAGGAGGCTGATGCATGGAATATAAATAGGCAACAAAATCTCATGCTGATCTTGTGCAACAACTAAATAGAAGCAGGTGTAGCAAGGGTGTGGCTCTGTCAAGGAAAGCAATCAAAATGGAAAAAATAATGTATCATCTGCCGTGTGGAATGTAGCGCGGATTCAATGACAAAGGTATCAAGAAGTGGCAGCGATGAAAAGCAAAGATAAAGAATTTGATCTGTGGTTATTAATGAGGGGATGTTAGGTAGAGAGAGTTCAGAATCAAAAGTGAGCAAGAGGTCATAGTGTAGGACGTCACCTATGGAGGGTAATGCGACGTGATCTGTTGTCGCTTCGCATTAAGTGATCGATCAACGTGCTGGAGGTTGTTGATAATGTAGAACAAAGAAATGCATGGACTTGTTTTTTTTTAACCGGATAATGCAGAAGTTTAATGAGAATAAGCAATGCAAAAGCACAAATGAATCTCCTTATCACCGGCAAGTAACTACAGAAACAGGCTTGAGGTTGTCGAAAAAAGGATCGGAGGGCCAGAGAGGGGAAGCTATAGATTTAGCTTAACACAAAGTGCAAGCCAGAGGAGGTAGATGCATGGAATATAAATAGTCAACAAAATCTCATCTGGTGCAACAACTAAATAGAAGCAGGTGTAGCAAGGGTGTGGCTCTGTCAAGGAAAGCAATCAGAATGGAAAAAATAATGTATCATCTGCCGTGTGGAATGTAGCGCGGATTCAATGACAAAGGTATCAAGAAGTGGCAGCGATGAAAAGCAAAGATAAAGAATTTGATCTGAGGTTATTATTGAGGGGATATTAGGTAGAGAGAGAGGAATCAAAAGTGAGCAAGAGGTCATAGCGTAGGAAGTCACCTGTGGAGGGGAATGCGACGTGATCTGTTGTCGCTTCGCAGCTGGTTTTGTTGGGTTGTCATCTGCAGGTGAGGTATTTTGCTCGGGGTCATTTTCATCTCCTGCAAATGGTACATGCATGTGGAAGATGGCCGCAGTTCTGAGAAAAATACATGGTTACTAAGTTTGAAGAGGTGAGAGGCTATAGAAAAAAGCTTAACCAAACGCATGGCAGCTTGAATTTCAGCTGCAACAGCCATGTGTGAGAAGGCAGGGAATTAATAAGCAGAAGAACAACAACAAACAACGACCAGGTGAAACAATGACAGAGAATTACCCAAACCAAAAAAGAAAATGATGCAGACCTAAAAGAGAAGAACGAAAGGAAATGGCAACCCGAATATGACCCCAAAACAACGTGCTCTTACAGGCTCAAAAGAAAAGACATGAAAGCATGGAAAACCCAATGGCAACAGTAGCATGCCACTTAAAGAAAATTATTAACAAAATAGACCAGCAAAACAAAGGAGAACAGTAGAAAAACAAACTAACCAATGGCCCTCCCGACAGCATAGGAAGGCTAATGAGAGGCAAAGGAACTGAATTTTCCAAACCAAAAGTAAACACCCTGAAAAACGTCCAATCCGACTGACAAGACCAGCAACACAACAGAGCCCGGTGCAGCCAGAAACAAACCATCAGCCGCTTGCAGCAGGAAGCCGGCAGCAGAGAAGCCGAAGGAAGTGAAGAGAAATCTAGAAGCAAAGAAGCCCATTGCAGCTAAAAGACATCCATACACAGCCAAGAAGACGAAGAGGCAAGACCAAGCCTGCATACCAACAGGCGGGCTTGATTCACAGCAGCAAAATGTGTGCTCTCCCATGTTTTTTTTCCTAGCAATGTCTCCAAGAAAGAAGGAAACGAAAACCCGAAACAACCCGACGTACTCAGCTCTCAATCACCCAATGCCCGAGAACAATTTCGCCAGCACGCTACCGTTGTAAATCCTGGTCAAAATTTTATTGGATAAGTGAATTATTAAAATTACTAATCAAACTAGAAATTTAAAAAGATATAAATGAATAAATGAAATTAATTAAAAGGGGTGAAATTGATTGATATCAATTGATGATAAAAAGATTTGAATCAAATAGGAGATAAAAAAACAGGGTTAAAAAGGGAATTTAAGGACTTAAGGGACTACTATAGACATAATTAATGAGGGGTATAAATACATGAATGGCTTTCTTAGGAAGCAATTGGGAGGGTTTGGGTGATTTGTTTTTTGTTTTTTCGCCTCAAATTACACCAACTTAAACACTAGACATAAGAGAAGAAGAGATTAAAAAGGGGTTTCAAAGGAATTCGGTTTAGGAATCAAGAAAACTCTCAAATGGAAATTAGGGTTGTTGCTGTAAGTTTTGGGGAAGAAAGAAAAGGAGGAGAGAGTTTGGTTCGGGGTATCAAACTCTCCTGTAAATATAAAACTGAAAGTAATAAGAGCAATGAGAACAAAAATAAGAAAAAATAGATAAATAATAATAATAACAATAATTATGATATATAATAGAAGGATGATCTCCATAAAATAAATTTTGTTTAGAATTTATAACGATAACAAAATTAATAATATGTTTCAATAATAAAATAATAAAATATCTCTAAGAAATAAGTGAGGTAATAAAAAATAAATTATAATAAATAATAGTGCAAAAAAAAAAAACAGGACATTGCATTCAAACAATAATAAGCTTGATAAATAAATAATAAAAAAATTAAAATAAATATATTTCAAAACAATAAAATGACCCTAAGGTTTTATAAGAATAATTGATATGATTTATATAAGGATTGAACAAAAAAAAAAAGATTGTTAATGAAAAGTCACGAACTGACTAATTTTATGCTCAAGAGTGGAGCTCACAATCCAACAATTAGATAAGGATACAATTTTGCATGGAATATATTAATATGTTATCTTACCTTGGTTTAAGATCCCAGCTTAATCGGAGTTCAATAAAGACTAATGATTCAAGTAGAAAAACTAGAAAGATTATGTGAAAAATAAAATAAAATATATAAAGGCACAAATAAGGGATACAATTGTAATTAATGATAAAATTACCTTTAAAACAACAAATAAGCCAATTATTCCATACAAAAAAAAAAAGGGTAAAAGGATAAACAAGGAAGAAAATTTGGCTTCATGGATAAGTGTAGAATTTAAAGAAGTCAATCCATAGGAAACAGTAGGCTCTAATGGTTATGTCTCCGGCATTAATCATTGGATAATGCTTCTTTTTAGATATATTGTGCTTCTCATCAGCCTGTCATCTTTTATGAGGAACTTGTAAGACCATTTTCCATTTGATAAAAATTGTCATCGGTAATATCATAGGAAAAGAACACCCTACAAGGCAGTTTCAATCATCGACCAATTCCTTTTTTTTCCATTGTTTATTATGTCTATTTTTTAATATGTGATAAGCATGGATGTTTTATTAATTAGGATGATGGAGATTGTAAACAAACTTCCCGGATTTTATTCATATTGAACAACAGCTCACCAATTTTCAAGGGAGGCTATTGGGACTGGATAACAACATGGAGTGGGAGCACGTGCACATACAACAAGTGGGTGCTCGACATCTTGTTTTTTTCTAAATTTAATATAATTTTTAATTATAAAATTTAGAATTACTATGTTAAAATGTGATTGTGAGTTGATATTATATTTGATAGGGTTATATGCCAATGAGATTGTAAGTTAGATTGAATACAATGAAACTATGTGTTAATGTAATCATGAGTTGGATTGGATACAACAAGACAATGTATGTAAATTGTATGTGCATGGTTAATGTTTGGGATATGAAATAAGATTGGGCATGGAAAACATGACGAAACAATTAAATTAAATGTGTGATAAATATGGAATGATATTTAGTGACTGAAATGTTGGTAGTTAACACTAACAACTCGATGATGGAGTTAGTGTCCAGTAATGAGTTATGTTGTAGAACTAGTAACCCGAAAATGAAACCAATGTCTAGTAATGGGCTAGTGGTATCAATTCATTTGAAGACCGACTTGTTGGACTAATAATGAAATATTAGATAAAACCTAATTATTAAATAAAATGGTGAACCATGGTATCAAGTACTGGATTAATAAGAATATTATGATTGGTTTCATGATATAGATTATTGAGTTGATTAATGCCTAATATTTGTGAAGAAATGAAGATAAAGATTATATCACCTAAGAAGAATGCATGAAAGGGTAAATATTTTAGCAAATTTATTTAGTGATAATAAGGGTGACCATTGTGAGGAGGAAGATGATGTTACCACATCAAGGATGACTTTAGAGATAAAAAAAAAAAAAAAGGATTAAGCACAAGACTCTGTTAAAAAGTCAAGTAAAGTATAAAGTAGGGTTGCATTTTATGAATTTTTTTGTATAAAAAACTTTATGATAATTAAGATTGTGTAATAAAGTGAATATAAAAATTTGTGAAAATTACTTGTGTAGCATAACTTAGGGCTATTTAAGGGGACAACCTCTTAAAAGGAAAAAAAATTATTATAAGAGTATACGATAGAAAAAAAAAAGATGACAAAAGTCGTGAATAACAAAAATAATGGTTGTTCAAAATTATTAAAACATATGTATATGATATATTTGATCATGTGTATCAGAGTATATATAACAAAATTTGGAATTTGTTTCCAGGTTGTGTGTTTGTATTTTTATAATATGATATAGATTGACTTGACATTGTAAATAAATTATGATTGTAATTGTAGCAGAATGATATCCTGTTGGAAATTATGATAACCATGTGTTGGAAACTGACTGTCAACCATGTTATTCAATATCAAAAATGCAACGAAAACTATAACTAAAATTATAAATTTATGCGAGAAGAATCCACTCCAAATACAAGTATTCAAAGGAGAAATAATGCAATAATATTCCAATCATGTGATGAAATGGACCACTTAGCTAAAAAATATAATAAACCTTGAGTATGTTTTTACTCGATGAGGGTGAAAATATGTTAATGATGGGGTCATGGTGTTGATATAATATGACAAGTAAAAAAAAAATGATGATAATGCTACTAAAATCAATCATCATAAGACAAGTCAGTGCTAAATGATCAAAAATATAAAAAATGAGAATTTTGAATTGTTAAATGTAAAAGTCAAATCAATAAAAAACATATGATATCGGTTTTCTTTTTTTGTAAAGAAATGAGTATTTATGGTGTTTCTTTTTATATTAATAATGTTGCCGATTAACATCAACATGTAGGTAAAAAGAAAAATATGGATGACATAATAAGGTTATAGAAATATATCTATATAAATTTGGCATGAATGATTCAAATGATGGATTAAACCGTAAACAACGAAGTTGAGAATGGTTAAGTTGATGAGTGACATATATACATGTTTAATATGGAGATCATGTGAAAACTAAGTTTCAATTATCAAATTATAATTAATTTTGAATATTATATATATATTGACTCCATACAAAGTAAAAAGTAAAAATTATTATAAATATTATGCTTGCAAGTTGGTCAATTTCTTGTACTCTTGTTTAATGAAGAGAGATGAAAGTAGTCTTTCATTTTGTACAAAAAAAATTATTACTTTAAATTTCTAAGTTCAAAGCTTAAAAAAACTATTTTAGATGTATAAATTATGGAGTGTTACAATGGGGCTTTTCATCTTCATTTTTCTTTGTAAATAAGTGGTATAATACTTTAATCTATGCAATTTGTACATTGCTAATAATATATTAATGATTTTTTTCATAAAAGAGCAATATATTTGGAATTATGTTGAATGTGTGAATATATATGTAAGTGTTTTGTGATGGATTAATGTTAATATACATGAAAAAGGAAAAATAGATTGATAAATAATTGAAGAAATTGTGAATGCCATATATTAAACTATGAAATTTATAGGTGAAATGTTATGATTATTTGAATTTAATTTGAATAATTATAAGGGTAAATGTGTTAATTAGAATATAAAGGTAATTGGATAAGGATTTTATTAGAAAACAAGTTCACAATCAAGTGACTACATCACTTCATGTTCACTTCATGTGATTGAATATCCTAATTTATATTTATATTTTATTTTTTTAGTTATTATTAATGATTTATTTATTTATTTTATTTAAATAAATAATTATTGATTTATTTTATTAGATGTTTGTATAGGATTTTTAATTTATACTTATATAAATATTAAAAAAAAACATGTTGATGCAACTTATATATCTAATATTTTTTAAAAAAAAAATTATAACTCGTAATAATATATAGATGACATAGCTACTAGTGTGTATGCATCTTGTAAAAGAAGATGCAGTAAGAATAGATAATAGACAAAAAAGAGAGGAAGGTATGCTTATCTCATAATGCCCAACTAAAAAAAAGAGATAATAAAAAAAATGCATTCACGGGATCAAAGAATTTTGGCATTAAAGCCCTAAGTATTGTAACTTTTTTTAAAAAAAATTATTTTTAGTTTTAAATTAATATTTTTTTAGTATTTTTTATTGTTATATTATACTAATATCTAAAATAAATTTTAAAAATTAAAAAATATTATTACAAAAAATATTTTAAAAAATAACTTTTATTACATTTTTAAATAGAGATCGAGCCTGTATCTTGAGTACCATATCAAGGCTCTAATAGTTTTTTTTTTATGTTAAAAATCATGTAATCTAGTATTAACAAATATTATTAAATTTTATTTGGCTTGATGAATTGATATAGGATTTATTCAAGATTAAAGCTCTAATGGTTTTTTTTTTTCATGTTAAAAATCATATAATCTAATATGAACAAATATTATTAAATTTGATTTGGCTTGATGAATTGATATAGAATCCATCCAAGATTAGATTTAAAAAAATCAATTGATTTGGTTAACCGCTTGAAGAATCAATTCTGGATGAAAATTTAATTTGATTTTTGATTTTTTTTAAATAATGTCATTTTAATAAAAAAAATATATATATATCACTTTTTGTTATCCAGATTAATTTGCCCAACCTCTTATCTTGGCTTTAATCCATGTTATGGGTGAAACCAAATTTTAGCCTGTACCCAAGAGAAGTTAGAAGAAGGCTCCTAATTTTGCCAGAATGAATGGCCTTACTATCATCTCGGAAACTGCCACAAAAAATAAAATCGGTGGCATCAGCAGCTTCACACACCAGTCAACCAAGCCTAGATTTCATCTTAGCCACATAGTTTTATGCTCCTATGCATGATTTTTAGGATCATTGAGTGGTTTATTATGAGATTAATTGTAGAGTATTAGACAAATAAGCTTGCATGCCAAAAAAAAAATTGACAAAAAGATTTCGCGACCAGAGTTTGACATGCCTTTCTTGAAGGCTTAAACAGAAGCTGAAATTAACTTGTGATTGTTAAATTTAACATTTCAGATAACCTATATCGCGTGTATCTGTTGCAGGGATGGATAACGAATCTGTGAAAATTCCAGAAGTCGTTCTAGTTAGTTCCGATGGCCGTAAAATGCCGGTGTTGGGGATGGGCACATCAGCTTCTCCACTAGAGGGATCTGACGAAACAAAAACAGCCATTCTTCAAGCAATCGAGATTGGTCACAGACACTTCGATACAGCCACGTTATACCTAACAGAGGAGCCACTAGGAGAAGCCATTTCTGAAGCCTTATCTCGCGGGCTGATCAAATCACGAGATGAGCTCTTCATCACCTCGAAGCTATGGTGCAGTGATGCTCATGGTGATCTTGTCCTCCCAGCCCTTAAGAAGAGTCTACGGTATAACAATATTCGTTTTTACTAATCAAGCATATTGATTAAAAGCCAGGATTATCAATTAATTCACGCCATGCATGCATGCAGGAATCTTCAGCTGGAATACCTTGATCTTTATCTAATTCATTGGCCTGTGAGCTCGAGATCAGGGACCTATGAGTTCCCTATAAACAAAGGAGACCTTTTACCTATGGATTTTAAATCCGTATGGGAAGCTATGCAAGAATGTCAAGATCTAGGTCTCACGAAATCCATTGGTGTCAGCAATTTCTCTTGTAAAAAGCTTTCAGACATCCTAGCCTTTGCAAAGATCCCTCCGGCAGTTAATCAAGTAAGTTTGCAATATGACTTTTGGCTTTATCATTAACCATCACTTCCTTGATTTCAAGAAATGAAATATATGTGTGTATTAAAAGTGAAAATGTGGGAACTAATTGAAAGGTAGAGATCAATCCATTATGGCAACAGAACAAGCTAAGGGAATTCTGCGAGGCCAATGGAATCGTTTTGACAGCTTATGCTCCTTTGGGAACCAGAGGAACCACTTGGGGAAGCAACAGGGTTATGGAGAATGAAGTACTGAGAGAGATTGCAACTGATATGGGAAAGCGTGTTGCTCAGGTATGCTCATACTCCTAACTCTAGCATGCATGCATCCTCTTTTCTTAACATTTAACACTTCTACTCGTACAATTACATTTGGACGGATAAACACACATGCACGCGCACACAAGAATAGGACTGAATTCATGGGTTTTGAAAACAGGTGTGCCTCAGGTGGGCATTTGAGCAAGGGGTCTGTGTGGTGCTGAAGAGTTTCAACAAAGGAAGGATGAAGGAGAACCTTGAGATACTCAACTGGACATTGAGCGAGGAAGAATCCAGGATGATCGGTGAAATACCCCAAAGCAGAGGATGTCGCGGAGAAGATTACGTCTCAGAAAAGGGGCCTATCAAGACAATTGAGGAGCTTTGGGATGGAGAAATTTGATTTTGTTTTTAGATCCTTAGGTACAAACAAAAACTTAACGTCTCCTGTTCATCTTTGTCGCGCTCTTCCATTTCTGCCAGTATCATAAAAAGAATAAATTACCCTCGTCCAAACTCCAAACTAAACATAACGGTTAAAAGGGAATAAAAAGTGGTGTAATATATACAGAGAGAAAGTTATTGAAACTTACAGAAGGGAAAGCAATAACACATTACTTCTCCTGCTGGTTTTGCTTCTAATCTACAAATTGTTAGGTTCAAAAAGATTTATTCTCTTACAATCCCCACCGTGACGCATCATTTTATCCCTAACTCGAGCAAACCACGACTCGATTCCGACGCAATTAAGTGCTGCCATTCAATTGACCATCGGCCGAAGTCAGCCACTATAAAATTCCATCCCATATGGTAGAGCCTCAGGCTAGGGTCTCCCTTGAGAGCTATAACTGGTCTCGAACCGAATACTACAGTAAACAAATGCCACATGCAAGCCCTCAGCCAATGCCTCCTATCCTTTCCATCCATCACGGGGTCCGTAGTCCGTGCAACAAAACAATGGAAAGAAAGCTCAACAGACATATCAAATTTCCCATGCCAAATCTTCCAACGTGTTGCTACACTACTTGAAAATATTCAAGATATTCTAAGAGCATTTAAAGCAGACTAAAGAAAAAAACCCTAGGTTGAGAGTTCTTTCTCATCCTATAAATATTAATCCAGCAAGCAGAACGGATCCAAACCAACGAGATTGGCATGGGGGAAGAGTGTGCTGCAATAAGACAGTGTTCAGATGCAATTAAGAGTGAACTGCTATCGACAAAAACAAGGCTATCTTTCTGCAAAACAGAATGTGGAGTGGCATGCTGATGTGTCCGAATTTCATTTTTAGAAGGAGGCACTAAAAACAATGAATCCAGCGTAAAGTAATAATGTCTTTGTTTTACTAGAATAATGCTTACGGAGTAGGAAAGAACAAGTTGCACTTACATGCTCCACAACTGTTGTTGAAGGCCTGTCCTTGAAGCTTACAAGATGACGGACAGCAACAAATTAATTTGAAACACGGCATATATTGAGAGAGAATTTGAGATCACAAGCAAATAAGTTAAACTGAAACTAGAAACGAACGGCTCTATGCTGTTATACACAGGCAACTCCATCCGAGACCAAGAATCTGGCAGAACGGGAGCTGACCGTCCTAATTGCTGCACCAGCTTGGCAGACGTGTTCGGTTGCTTACAAAAATCTTAAGCATGTATGCATCGCGAACTTTTCAAGAGTAATGATCCACATCATTTAATATAGTGGAAGTTAAATCTTATTATGTCTGATATCAATAAATTAAAGAATGCCATCAAGATTTTTGTTTGCAGTATCAAAGAATAGCTCCCGAACAAGATGAAGCAACTTCCCCATGAGATTCGTTGTAGAAGTTTCGCAGTAGTGGACAACATATATAAATAAACAAAATTAATTGTTTTCCACCCATGAATTAATTCATAACATTAGCCATTTCACCAGATTTGCTGTTAGCTTAAAACATAGCCATAGTAAGATGATAGGTTTATCTGGGATTAATCCGACAAATAATTGAAGAAATAAGCACAAGAACAATACCCCATTCCCTAGCTAGCCGTTTATTTAAAGCTTCATTTCACATATTCGCAGCATGTGCTGGCTCCACACGAGTCCACATAGCAATGCTTTGCTGTTCTAAACTAAAGCAATATTATTATGCCTTCAATATTATAGTATATCATTTAGGTGTCCCTCCCTCCTTCCATTATCCCCTAATCTTTGGGTGGGTGAAATATGTGTCTTTACCTGCTCGGTAAAGACAGGAAGGACAGAGGCACCTATGATTTTGCTGAACAGGAAAGATGCCCCATATCATATCCAGGTTTAGGGGGAATAAGAGATTCCAGAATTAAAAACATCATTCACACGGCCATTGATCCTTTTCAAGCTTAAAGTTCTTGAAAGATGAATTTAGCTGTCAACTTTCATAGTAGTCTTCGATTCTCCATGAAAACTCATCATGATCAAATCCAATCCATACAGTTAATTCAGTTGGTCGGCCATAACTTGAGTGTGTATACATATATATATGCGCTACAAAGAAGCCATGCCCATCTTGGCAACAGAAAAGGACTTCATCAATGGTAAGAGGAGAGAAATTGGACGGTGACGACCTTGCATACGTTCTGATAACCATTTAAAAGTAAATGGAGACAGGTTAATTTGTGGGTCCTGATGCGCCCGTTAGAGATCCGGTTTGACTAAAGTAAATTTGCCACTTTATTTATTTAGATCTCTTTGTACTAAGCTTTTGGTTTCTTTAGATTTGCCTTTCACGATTATCAAGTCAACCACTTCTTGGTACATAGTCGAGGTGTGATTATTATTATTGTTTTGTTTGGTTTGATTTTTATTTATAAAAATAATTAATTAAAATTTTATAAAATATATATATATATATAAATTGAAATCTGTTTCAACCCGTTGATATAGCAGAGCACGAGGTATAATGATATTGTCAAGATATTATGTTCATTGAAATAATTATTTTTTTGATAGACTATACTCGATGTGTTTGAATGAGAATGGTGAGGGGTGACGAATTCTATATTCATGAAAGATACTTATGACCCAAATTCTAAAGTTTGTACATAAAAAAATTAATAATTTAAATTATTTTATGAATAGCTTAAAACATTTTTAATATTACATCTATCGAATCCATGCGCCGTATTCATCAATTGATGTTGGTTCAAAAGAATTCGGAAAAAATATTATCACTGAAAAGGAAAAAAGAATTCATTCTAGGATATATGCACGTAACATATTCCATATTTAAATGTATGTTTAATTTTTTAAAATATTATATTGTTTTACATGATTCCGTAATTTTATTAGTTAAAAGGTTCAATTAGAAAACAATAAGGATGCAAATAATATATAATTTAAATATTAAATTCCCACGAACTTTTAAATAATTTAAGAAGCTTTTAGTAAAGATTGATCTAGAATGGAAACATCTTATCTTTTTTCTTTCTAGTTTTACTTGTTAACAAAAAAAAATTAAATATACAAAATTATTAAATATTTTATGTTTAATAAATACGGTTTTAAATACTTTAAAACTTCATGAATTATCAAATAGTTAAAGTGAACATGGTGACAAACACGACAATTATTTATAGATTGTTGCTATGAATGATGTTAACCTTTTGTTAAAAAAAATAATTTTAAAGAATATAATTTAATTAATCAGATTTTAAATTTTTTATTTAAAAATTACTAATTTAATTTCTATAAATTTCAAAACAACCGGTAATTTATATAGTCATTAACTTTAGGATATATAAAATTAGTCGAGATACACACAAATTAATCTGAATATCTATATAAACAAAATTAAAAGTTATTGCATGCAAAGCTCAATTTTTCTTTTCTTTTTGTTTTTATAAAAAACTTAGTTTTTATTGTGTCATGTTAAGTGTGTGTTTAGTAGTATACAATATTTTTACAAAAATATTTTTTATATTTTTTACATTAATACATTAAAAATATAAAAATATCTAAAAAAATCAAATTAACATCATTTCAAACAAAAACATTTTAAAAAACAGACCAAAATACTTTAGAGAGTATTTGAAAATGTAGTACAAACCGTGTTCTTAAAAATTTAAATTTTTTTTATTTTTTTAGATTGTTTTGATATGCTGATGTCAAAAATAATTTTAAAAAATAAAAAAAAATATTTATTTTAATATATTTATAAACAAAAATACTATGAATTACCACTGCTATCACAATTAAAAAAAAATTAATTCCAAGCAGAACTTGAGGTCATTTAAGTAAAAAAAAAACTATACCTTTTTAAGTGTGTGATTGATTAGTACTTAAAAGTGCATTTTTATCATGGTTTTATATCATCATTTTGCACTTGAAGTATCAATAACTCCTTAACTAAAATATGTTTTATAATAATGTATCTAATAATATAAGATACCTATAATTTGTGGTAAATGTCTATTTTTAATGCAGGCCTATCACATAAATGAAAGGATTGATTGATGACTTGAAGAACTTAAATTGTAAGGATAAAGAGATGGTCAAACTTAGAGAAGAGATGTCGGTGCAATCCAAACTGGAACACTGTTTGGTAATTGGTTCATATCTGGAGCTATAGATCTCAGATTTAGGTCCAATTTATATGGATGGAAAGGTAAGACATAGGCCTACAACTTTCATATGGAGCCCAAGATCTAAAAAGGCCATTATCAAGTCCAAATTGTAGCAACAACAAAGAAGCCCGAATCTGTCTTCCAGCCCGAGCACTGTTCGGTATTTTGTCCATATCTGTAGTTCTAGAAGTCCAAATGAGCTGAAGTTTTTACACAAGATAGCTGAGACAATTGCCTACAACTTTCATGTTTGCACCTGGCTCCAGTTTGGACGTTATCAATGACGTTTTGGGCAGACAAGAGAAGATAAGGATTGTCACCAAGTCAAAAGTTGGCCACCCACTTATCAATTAGTCATCAAATCAATAGTTCCCAATTTTGGCCTATAAAAGGAGGCATTTGCCATGCATTTAGGCATCTTGGTTTCCAGATCAAGATCATGCTCTTCCTTTCTCTCTTTGTATTTTTTGTAATGTTTATGCTTTGCTTTCATTAATATTAAGTTTATGCTTTCATTTCCTTTCCTTTACTTAGTTAACTTTTATGTTCTTATTTTGTTTATCTATTTTGCTTTCTTTCATTATGTCTAGCTAAGTTAGTTATGTCAAGGTGAAAAGGTTACACTAATGGTGTAAGAATAAGTATAATGTAAACTTAATATGGACTTTAATGTTTGATACTAACATGTTTTATATTTGTTATCTTGTTCACTCTTTAATACTTTGCTTGTTAAATGACTAATCTTGATTTATGTTGTATAACACTTGGTACAACAAATGCTTGGCACTTTCATAGCCCATAATGTATGGTA